CTAGAATACTCAAACAGCCCCACCGCCCCAGATTCAAAACCAAAATCCAATTACTTTCAACTCCCAAACACCGCATCCCCACTTAAACCAAAACACCAATCCTCAAACCTACCCACAAAACTACCAAATCACCGAGAACGTCCCAAGTTCTTCTATAGCTCCACCACTCCCAAAAAGAACCACATTTCAAGCTTCCATTCCTGCCGAGCATGAGGTGCACTCTGAGTTGGATCACTATGATGAACAAGAGAGAGAGTGGAAGGCAAGAGAAGATGCAAAGATTGACATAAAAGAGGAGATCAAAAGGGCTATGAAAGAGCTGCAGTGCATCCCAGACGTCGCCGAACTGAGTTATGGAAAATTGTGTGTCCACCCAAATTTGAACCTTCCTGAAGGGTTAAAAATTCTGAAGTTTGATACCTTCGGAGGAGTAGGCAACCCCATGGCGCATTTGAGAGCGTACTGTGACCAGCTCGTGGGAGTTGGCAAAGTTGAGGCTTTATTGATGAGGCTTTTCAGCCGGAGTCTCTGCAAGGAGGCCCTCGAGTGGTTTACGTCACACGAAACTAGGCAATGACCCAGTTGGAGCGCGCTAGCTAAAGACTTCATTGACCGATTTGCGTACAATGTTGAGATAGTCCCTGATCGGTATTCTTTAGAAAAAATGAAGCAGAAACCGACTGAAAGCTATCGAGAATTTGCCTATAGATGGAGGAAAGAAGCAGCAAGGGTGAGGCCTCCAATGACTAAAAAGGAGATTGTAGAAGTGTTTGTACGGGTGCAAGAGCCCGAATACTATGACAGAATCATTTTGTTAATCGGAGCCAAATTTGCCGAGATAGTCAAAGTTGGTGAGACTATCGAAGACGGCCTGAAGTCGAGGAAGATAGCCTGAGTATTCGCATCTCCTGTATCTTCCGAATTAATAAGGAAGAAGAGAGAGGAAGTTGCCGTTATTTTCTATGGGGGAAGAAAAACTCCCAGAAACTCATCGCGTCCTCAAATTGCTCCAAGCCTTCACCGAAGTCTCACCAAGCCTATTACCCACAGTCCAATCATCCTAGCAACCACAATACTGCCTCCACCTATCCAAATGCTCAAATTTTGTCGTACCAAAATCCATCCCCAAATCTCCAAAAATTTTCCCCTATGTACCCAAATTACCCCAATCTTACCGAATTCCGCCCCCTTATCAGAATATTTCTCCCAACTCTGTCAATTTACAGTCGAGCTACCGAGTGCATGCCCCCACTTTTCAAGTCCAAGCTCCAGCATATCAAAATCCCCTCCCGGATTACCAAGCTCCAGTGCCAAATTACCAGACAAACCCTTACCCTAGAACCCAAGCTCCTCGCCTAAATACCTGCAATTATCAGCAAGTTCCTCCCCCTCAGCAAAACGGGTATGATCCTTCTCGTCCAAGGCTTGAAAAAAAGCCTTCGAGGAACTTCACTGCACTAGCTGAAAGCCAGACCAAACTCTTCGAAAGACTATCAGCGGCTGGATACATCCACCCTGTGGGGCCCAAGCCCGTGGATGTCAACTCTAAGTTTTACGAACTGGAGAAACGATGCGCTTATCATTCCAACAGTGTTGGACATGACATAGAAGACTCTATTAATCTTAAGCACAAGATCCAGGATCTGATCGACCAGGAGGTAGTCTCCCTCCAACCGACAGTGCTAAACGTCAATACAAATCTGTTGCCGAATCATGGAGGTGGAAACATTAATATGATAGAAACGGACGAAGATGAGTGTGAAACCAAGAGGATTACTCCTTTTGCGCAGGAAGACTTGGAAAGGGCTGTCAGTCTTTTAAGCGTCAAAGAAAAGAGAGAGTTTGTTATTCTGACACCTACAAAGGTTGTTGCCTTGGTGCCTTCGAAAACTCTTTCCAAACCCAAGTTTGTCATCGAAACCGCTGTGGCCCAAGGCATGACCAGGTCCGGAAGATGTTACACTCCTGATGAGCTTGTTCTCGGAGGACAGAAGAAATACCATGCCAAGAGTCCAATAAGCGAAACAGAAGCAAAAGAGTTCTGGAGGAGGATGCAATCGAAAGATTATTCCATTGTCAAACACTTAGAGAAGACTCCGGCTCAGATCTCCATGTGGGCCCTACTGATGAGCTCCCGGCCCCACAGGCAGGCTTTGATGAAAGCTCTTGATGATACGTACGTGCCCTCAGGTACAAGCAGCAATAACGTGGCTGCCATGATTCATCAAGTCATTCGGGGCACCGCATCAGCTTCTGTGACGATGAGTTGCCAGCCGAAGGGAGATCCCACAACAAAGCTCTGCACGTCACTGTGATATGCCGTGGAAAGGTCGTCAATCGTGTTTTGGTAGATGATGGATCTTGTTTGAATATATGCCCCTTGTCAACATTGAAACGGCTGAGGTTTGACCTCAGAAAATTTGAGCAAAACTAGGTTAATGTAAGAGCGTTTGATGGTGTGCAAAGAGACACATTGGGGGCGGTGAACTTGACCCTTCAAATGGGCCCCGCAGAGTTCAGCGCGAAGTTCCAAGTGTTGGATATCAGCACCAGTTATAACCTTCTTTTGGGAAGGCCGTTCATTCACATGGCTGGGGCCGTCCCCTCCACTCTCCATCAAATGATGAAGCTGGTATGGAAAAATGAGGAGCTAGTTGTTCACGGTGAGAGAAGTCACTCAGGCAAGCAGGTGCCGGTCTTTGACGAGACGCCGCAAGGTGCAGAATTTTACACGGTGGAGTTGGTAAATGCAACCGATGAGGATTTGGCCCCGCAGACCCCCACTCTAGCCGTGTACAGAATGATCGCCACAGTAATGCTACAGAATGGGTTCAAGCCAGGTTTCGGATTGGGAAGAGATTCCCAAGGGATTATTGAACCTGTTCCAGTCTTTGCTAAAGGATCCAAATATGGTTTAGGGTACATCCCTAGAGATGACAACGGGAAGATGAAGAAGAAAAAAGATCAAGAGTTGGCTAAACCGATCCCGCATCTGTATCAATCCTTTCCAATCTGGGAGTATGTCGATCCTGAAGACTGTAGGGAAGGAATCTGTGACCTCTTCAAAGAGATCAATGCTATTATCGAGGAGGAGGTCGAGTCAGTTGACATCCGTGATGCTGAACCAGGGAAGGTGCTGCAGAACTGGACTTCCACGCCGATCCTGATGTCCCAAACTCTTCGGCAGAAAGGGGTTATTTTATGCATTCTAAAATCGGTGGTTGTCTGGACGAGGCCCGAGACCTACTATTTTTGCATTTTTCTTAATTGTCCAAATTTTGAATTTTTGTTGTGATGTTTAAAAAGGGCAGCATGGCCCTGTGCCATGACCAATGTTTGCATTTCGTTTTAAATGAGAGCCTCTTTATTTTTTAACTTTGTTTACTTAACTGTTTGTTACACTTTACTTTCCTAATTTTGTCTATTTATGATTTCAGTAACATAAGTTACAGACCCGCCAATGTCATGTCAAGTCATGAGCTAAATGAACAAAATGACTACACGGTTGACAATGATGAAGAAGAAAGTGGGGAACCAGATTATGTTGCCGAAGAATTTCGACAGTTTGAGAATCAGCATAAACCGAATCTAGAGGAGATGGAAACGGTGAATTTGGGAGATTCGGAATGTGTCAAGGAGGTTAAGATCAGCACCCACCTAAATGAAACTCAGAAGGAGAGCCTGGTTCATTTGCTTGCCGAATACAGTTATGTGTTTGTTTAGGAAGTCGGTGATATGCAGGGGTTGAGTACCGATGTCGTATCTCATAAGCTACCTATCAACCCAGGGTTCGAGCCAGTGAAACAAAAGACTCGAAAATTCAAACATGAGCTGAGTTTGAAGATTAAGGAAGAAATCACCAAGCAAATAGAGTCTCGATTGGTGGATGTAACGCAATATCCAACCTGGTTAGCCTATGTCGTCCCGGTCACCAAGAAGGATGGGAAAATCAGGATTTGTGTTGATTACAGAGATCTCAACAAGGCTAGTCCAAAGGATAATTTTCCGTTTCCAAATATCCATATTTTGTTTGACAACTATGTCAAGCATGAGATGCAGTCATTTGTGGATTGTTACGCAGGTTATCACCAAATTTTGATGGATGAAGAAGACGCGGAAAAATGGCTTTCATCACACCTTGGGGTGTATGTCACTACAGGGTGATGCCATTCGGCCTCAAGAACGCCGGTGCCACTTACGTGAGAGCCATGACGACTATTTTCCATGACATGATTCATAAGGAAGTTGAAGTGTACGTGGACGACGTCATAATCAAATCCTGGGAGAATTCAGATCATTTGACACACTTAAGGAAATTCTTTGAACGTTTGCATCGGTACAACTTGAAGTTAAATCCAGCCAAATGCGTTTTTGGAGTCGCAGCTGGGAAGTTGTTGGGACTTATAGTCAGCAGAAGGGGTATTGAGCTTGACCCCTGCAAGATTAAAGCAATTCAAGAGTTACCTCCTCCGAAAACGAGAAAAGAGGTGATGAGTTTCTTAGGGAGGGTAAACTATATTAGCCGGTTTATAGCACAATCAACAGTGGTGTGTGAGCCTATTTTGAAGTTGCTGAAGAAAGACACCTCGACTAAGTGGACCGAGGAGTGCAAAACTGCTTTCGATGCTATCAAGAGCTACTTGTCTAACCCACCAGTATTGGTTCCTCCGCGAGAAGGGTGTTCTTTGTTGCTGCACTTGTCTTTTCCAGATAGTGCCTTCGGATGTGTACTTGGTCAACACAATGAGACAGGAAAGAAGGAAAGTTCTATCTACTATATAAGCTAGAAGTTTACTCCGTACGAGTCTCGTTACACTTTGCTGGAAAGAACATGCTGTGCTCTGACGTGGCTTGCTCAAAAATTAAGACATTATTTATCTTTGTATATTACATGTCTCATTTCCAGAATGGATCCATTGAAGTACATTTTCCAGAAAGCGATGCCGACTAGAAAGTTAGCTAAATGTAAAATGCTGTTGAGTTAGTTCGATATCGTCTATATGACTCAGAAGTCAATAAAGGCACAAGCTTTGGCTGATCATCTTGCAGAGAATCCCGTGGATGAAGAATACAAACCACTCAAGACTTATTTTCATGATGAAGAAGTATCATTTGCGGGTGAAGATATTTCTGAAACATACCCAGATTGGAGATTATTCTTTGACGGAGCGGCAAATCACCAAGGTAAAGGTATTGGAGCAGTCTTAGTGTCAGAATACGGTCAACACTATCCCATGGCAGCTAAACTACGATTTAATTGCACAAACAACATGGCTGAATACGAAGCTTGTATTCTTGGTTTGAAAATGATCATCGACCTGAATGTTTACGAGTTACTGGTTATTGGAGATTCAGACCTTTTGATTCATCAAGTTCTAGGTGAATGGGCTGTGAAGAACTCGAAGATTATACCTTACGTACAGTATGTGCAAAATTTGTGTAAAAGGTTTTGCAAGATCGTTCTGACATTATCCCAGAATATAGAATGAATTAGCCGACGCTCTTGCCACCATCGCTTCGATGATCAAACATCCGGATACTGATTACATCGACCCACTGGATGTAGAGTTGAAGGAACATCCAATCCATTGTTCACATGTTGAATCAGAACCAGATGGTTTGCCTTGGTATTTTGACATAAAGAGGTACTTGGAGTCTGGGACATATCCAGAAGACGCTATTCTAATCAGAAGAAGTCGATACACCGTATGGCTCTCAATTTCTTTCTAAATGGAGAAGTCCTGTATAGGAGGACTCCAGATTTGGGTCTTTTAAGATGTGTAGACGCTGCTAAAGCTGTGAGGCTTATTGAACAGGTGCACGTTGGAGTTTGTGGCACACATATGAATGGGCTTAATTTGTCAAGAAAGGTCCTTTGATCTGGTTATTTCTGGATGACTATGGAGAATGATTGTTGCAAATTCGTGCAAAAATGCCACAAATGTCAGGTGCACGGCGATTTGATACGGGTGCCACCTCACGAACTTAACGCTATGAGTTCACCTTGGCCATTTGTAGCTTGGGGAATGGATGTCATCGGCCCTATAGAGCCGGCCGCTTCTAATGGACAAAGATTCATTTTGGTTGTCATCGATTATTTCACCAAGTGGGTGGAGGAAGTCTCATACAAGTCGGTAACCAAGAAAGTGGAGGCTGATTTTGTCCGCAACAATCTGATATGCAGATTTGGAGTTCCAAAATCCATCATTACTGATAATGGTGCAAACCTCAACAGTCATTTGATGAAAGAGATATGTGAGCAGTTTAAGATTATTCATCGAAAATCAACTACTTATCGCCCCTAAATGAACGGAGCTGTAGAGGCCGGCAACAAGAATATCAAAAAGATTTTGAGGAAAATAATTGACAAACATCGAGGTTTGCATGAAGTGTTGCCATACGCTTTACTAGGTTATCGAACGGAGGTCAGAACATCGACCGGTGCTACTCCATACTTACTAGTATATGGAACAGAGGCAGTCATACCTGTCGAAGTCGAGATACCTTCATTGAGGATCATTCAAGAAGCTGAGTTGAGTAACGCTGAATAGGTTAGCAAACGGATTGATCAACTAGCTTTGATTGATGAAAAGAGAATGATTGCCGTTTGTCATGGCCAATTGTATAGACAGAGAATGACTAGCGCTTTTCACAAAAGAGTAAGAGCTAGAAATTTTGAAGTTGGCCAGTTGGTTCTTAAGCGTATTTTCCCTCATCAAGACGAATACAAAGGAAAGTTCGCACCAAATTGGTAGGGTCTTTACATGGTTCGTAAAGTACTGTCTGGAGGTGCTTTGGTCCTGTCAGAGATGGATGGCACCGTATGGCCCAAACCAATAAACTCAGATGCTGTCAAGAGATACTATGTGTGAAGTTTCATTTTGCATTTTCTGTTATTTACTTATAATCGTTCTATATTCTTGTATGTGTTCAATTTGAATTCTTATCTCTCTTGTAATGAACTACGTCTAACCTGAATTCTCGAGAACGAGATACGTAGAGGGCCTATATCGGCTTTGGTCACCCCGTTTATCACCTTAAATTATTTCTTTGTATCTGAACTACGTTCGACCTGAATTCTCAAGAATGAGATACGTAGGCGGCCTATATCAGCCTCGGTCGGTTTCTTTGTAAATTTTATTCTTGTTAACCTTTAAGGGGAACTACGTTTGACCTGATTCCTGCCTCAACGGGATACGTAGGCGCCACAAATGTTCAGTTATATCTCTCGTAAGTTTTATTCCTTTTGCAGTGAAACTGGGAAAGAATTTTTGAGAGGGACTCAAAAATTCTCCAGAAGAAGGTTCCTCCGCGGCAAGTCAAACTAAAGATATTTCGAGACTTGCAACTGGGACAGAATTTTTGAGAAGATCTCCAAAATTTCGCGATCTGCTCAGTTACAGTGGAAAGATAATCAAGACAGTTAATTGGGAACAATGGTCTTCCCTACATGTCCGGAGCGCCTCTGAAACTCATCAGCGAATGTCAGATAGACCTTCAAGTGTAAGGTTTAAAGAAGCTTGTTAAACTTGATATGACATGACTTGTCAGTGACCTTTTCAAAATACTATTTCCTAAAAATTTTATTTCTCTCAAATTTTCCCTTTTATGTTTCATTTGTTTTGGCGTAAAATATTTTGTCTTATCTATCAAAAGTCGAGAAATCGGGAAATCAACCAGAGATATCAAGACAAAGAGAAAACAACTGAAGAAGTCGACACAGATCAGTATGTTTTAAAACTGACAATTTTTCTGTGAATGCAGGTTTATACCTTTGCTTTGAAATCAGCCAAATTCTCTCGACGAATGAATATAGAGAGCTCCCAAAAAGGAGAAAACTATCCCTAAAATCAGTAATTTTATAGAGAGCAGGAAGCAGTTCATATCGTTTGTGTCAGGAGACTTGGGAATGTGGTTTGTTTATTTCAAGCAATTTCCAGCAACATGAAATTTACAAAGAGTGTCTAGCCAGATTCAAAGGTAAATCAAACAGGAATCTCTACGAAGATTTCACGATCTCCAAAGGACGCTATTTGCATTACATTATCAAGCAAGATAATTATTGTCAATCAAGACAATGCATTACCCCAGAAGAGATAGTTATTTTATTATTATTTTATTATCGATCAAGTCGATATATTATGTAGAGGTCGTCTTGCCATTATCATCAACACAGACGATATAAATATTCATGCATTGCGAGTTAAAAATCATGCATTGAGAAAAGTCATGCATTGCGAAAATCATGCATCGCGGAATCATGCATTGCGGAAAGTCATGCATTGCGGAAAATCATGCATTGTGGAAGTCATGCATTGCGGAAAATCATGCATCGTGGAAAATCATGCATTGCGGAAAGTCATGCATTA